CCACCAATCCCATTACTGGATATATACCCAAAGGATTATAAACCATTCTAATATAAAGACATATGCACACACATGTTTATTTAAGCATTATTTACAATAGCAAAGACTTGGAACCAACTCAAATGCCCACCCTCTTTATAGACTAGATAAAGAAAATGTGGCACATATACACCATGGAATACTGTGCAGCCATAAAAAAGGATGAGTTCATGTCCTTTGCAGGGACATGGATGAAGCTGGAAACTGTCATTCTTAGCAAACTAACACAAGAGCAGAAAACCAAACACCATATGTGTTCTCACTCATAAGTGGGAGTTGAACAATGAGAACACATGGACACAGCGAGGGGAACATCACACACTGGGGCCTGTCAGGCAGTGGGCAGGGGGGCTAGGGGAGGGGGATAGCATTAGGAGAAATACATAATGTAAATGACAGGTTGATGGGTACAGCAAACCACCCTGACAATGTGTATACATATGAAAAAAACCTGCATGTTCTGCACATGTATCCCAGAACTTAAATAAATAAAGCTCACAAAACAATGCAGATACTACCTTTTTTGGGTAAATACGTACTTTTGCACATATACGTATGTATGTATAGTCAGTATAGCACAGACAGAAGTTTGGAAGTCTATGCCCCAAATGTTGTAAGAGATCCGCTCCTGTTCCACCCCCAGGCTTGATGGTAGAGACCGTTACTGAAGCAGCTGGTCTCAGGCCATGTAGCACAGTGGCCAAAGAGCAGCCTGACCGAGATGAGGCAAATCTCAAGTCTGGTTGGAGTCCCAGACAGCTGACCAGCCTTCTCTGGGCTGCCTGCTGGGCTCTCTTTGCTGGATAACCTGGCCATGTCGTCTTACGTCCGTCCTGTCTACAGGGCTTCCTCCCCTACCAAGGGGCCATTTTAGGATGTCCCAGGGCCCACAAAATGCACCCAGTTATTTCTATTCTAGAATGTGGTTTCACATAAGCCCCACGCACCAGCACACCTTAACTCAAAAACCTGTCTTGGCTCACAAAGACTGTGAAGAGAGCAAGATAACACCATTTTTTTTCTTCTGCTTTTCAGTTTGGTAAGTTTGTAGTTTCTGTTGACTTATTTTCAAACTCACTGATTGTTTCATAGGCCGTATTCAGTCTGCTGATGAGCTCACCTAAGGCATTCTTTATTTCTGTTACACTAGCTTCATTAGGGAATGGTTTCATGGAGTTTCTCATATTGCCATACCAGAAATGGAATTCCCATTCTACACATTTGATATGTTGTGTTTTCATTTTATTTTATGTCAAAATACTTTTAAATGCTACTATTGCTTAATTGTCAATATTTGGAGCATTTTGAAAATGGCTCTTCATAGTTATTGATTTGCCAGTCTTTTACCTTTACTGAAACTTGTGTTATGGCCAGCATATGGTCATCTTGCTCTGTGTTCTCTGTGTTCCATGTGTACATAAAGAAATGTACCAGTAGTACAAATTCAAATGGATCAAATTTATCACTTAATAGAAAATGTTTTTGATTATAAGCTCTTCTTTTTTTTTTTTTTTTTTTCTTGAGACAGAGTCTCACTCTGTTGCCCAGGCTGGAGTGCAGTGGCATAATCTCAGCTCACCACAACCTCTGCCTCCTGGGTTCAAGCGATTCTCCTGCCTCAGCCGTCTGAGTAGCTGGGATTACAGGTGCACACCACCACACCCAGCTAATTTTTGTATTTTTAGTAGACAGGGTTTCACTATGTTGGTCAGGCTGGTCTCCCACTCGTAACCTAGTGATCCGCATGCCTCAGCCTCCTAAAGTGCTGAAATTATAGGTGTGAGCCATCACGCCCAGCTGATTATGAGCTCTTCTTAAGCAAATGTTTTCTCCTTCTGGGGGGATCTTGTGTGGCCTGGGTGTGGTAATGTCCCTCCAGGAGGATGGGTTATTTCTACTAAGTATTCTCATGGACTCGGGTCAAACCTCATGTTAAAGTTTAGAATTGAGAATAGGTAGTGTAAAGTCAGACTCTAAAATTGAGTGAAGTCACACCTAAGGTTTCAGTTTCTTACAGAAGAAATTTTTTTCCTATCTAGAGTCTGGGTGAAGATAAGTTTTTGCAGTCTCTCTGTGGGGGTAAGTGAATTTTTCTACTAGAGCCTCCATTCATTTAGTATATAGCCTTCAAGGATCCCAGATTATGTAAAGGTCTCATTTCTAGCTCTCCATTAGTCCTAAATTCTTATCTCTTATCCTTGCTTGAATGTTGAAGCAGAAGCCATTCATTGATACTAGGTCTTCCTATCCTCAGCCTTAGCTTCAGGGCTGCTTATTTGCTTCCTGCTCTGGTTTTATTTCCCCTGTTTTGGGCAGTGAGAATTTCTTTTACTTCCCTGCAAGCTCAGCTTTGAATTGCAAAAACAAAACCAAAAAAAAATTCTATTTTATCCAGGTGATTTTCCCCTTAGCGTAAGCATCCATCTTACTAGAACCTTAAACATCCAGAGTGATTATTTCAAAGCAAACCTGACCATATCACCTTCCTATTTAAGATCTTTCAGTGGGTCTTCATTGCACATAGAAAGACCCATCTCTAAAAACACCAAAAAATTAGCCACAGAGGGTCACACATGCCTGTAGGAGGCTAAGGCAAGAGAATTGCTTGAGCCTAGGAGTTCAAGGCTGCAGTGAGCAATGATGGTGCCACCGCCCTCCAGCCTGGGCAACAAAGCAAGAACTTGTTTTGAAAAAAAAAAAAAAAAAAAAAAAAAAAAGAAAGAATACACAGGATAAAGACCAAAATTTTAACATGCCTCACTAGGCCCTGTCTTGTAAGTTTTGTGTATCTTTTCAACTGCGTCTTTTTTCACTCTTCTATTTAGACTCTGAGCTCCAGCCACACTAGCCTTCTCTCAGTTCTTGGAGCATGTCATTCTTCCTGCCTCCCTAGGACCCTTGCACTTAGCATTCCTTTGATTTGAGAAGCTCCGCTCCTACCAGACTATATATCCACTTACTGTTCAGATTTCAACTCAAGTGTTATTTACTCAGGGAAGCCTTTCCTGACTTCCAAGACACAGTTTAGGTCAGTTTGTTTTTCTTTCTTTCTTTCTCTTTCTTTCCTTCCTTTTTTCTTTCTTTCTTTCTCTTTCTTTCTTTCTTTCCTCTTTCTTTCTTTCTTTCTTTCTTTCTTTCTTTCTTTCTTTCTTTCTTTCTTTCTTTCTTTCTTTCTTTCTTTTCTCTCTCTTTCTTTCTTTCTTTCATCGAGACAAGGTCTTGCTTTGTTGCCCAGGCTGGAGTGTGGTAGTGCCATCATTGCTCACTGCAGTCTTGAACTCCTGGGCTCAAGCAATCCTTTTGCCTTAGCCTCCTGAATCGGTAGGACTACAGGCATGTGCGACCCTCTGTGACTAATTTTTTGCTTTTTTTTAGAGATGGGTCTTGCTGTGTTACCCAGGCTGGTCTCGAACTCCTGACCCTAAGTGATCCTCTAACTTCAGGCTTGCAAAGTGTTGGCATTACAGGCATAAACCACTGTGTCTGGTTCAGTTTCCTTTGTTATAACTTTTTCTCCTGAAATATTTTCTTTATATGTATTTATATAGTTATCTGTATCATTATATGATTAATATATGACTCCTCTAGTAGTCTAGGGGTTTTATTAGAGCAGATACCACTTACCATTGAATGTGTACCTAGGCTTAGTGACTGGAACATAGAGTATATTTCAATAAATAGGTGATGAATGGGTGGGTAGATGGAAAGATGGATAAAAAGTTGGCTTGAAGAATAAGTAAGAAAGAGTGAGTGAGGAAGGAAGAGAAGAGGTAGAGAAAAAGTAGGAGTGAATTATGGTCAAATAACTTAGAATGGGAGCAAATTGTAGTACTTTACACTTATAAAATAACTTGTAAAAACACATAAATTTCTTTGCTTCTCAGTTCTCCTTGTCTTCACATTATAGTAAACAAATACTTCTCTGTAGGTGGCAGTGTACTTATATAAGACATTTTTTTCTGAAAGAAAAGGGTGGGGGTGGAATTATCTTGAACATTTGAAAGCATTTATGTAACTTGTATCTCATAGTTTTAAGAACCATGCTCTTATTTCCTATAATGTGGATGTATACATAATTTATACTTGCCCTTAGTCTTTTTCTCTCTGAGGTATTAGTAAGTGTTAAACAGTTATCAGTTCTCATTTTATAACATTATGATTGAAATTGACATGCCTGTCAAGAATTTGGAAACAGGTGTTGTGAATAAAACAGTGGCTAGCATTTTTGTTTTTAACAACAACGATAGCATTTGTATTATAGAATGACTGAAACTGTGGCTAATATAGGTAGAACTGTTGGTCAAACGATATATCTCAAAAGCTTTGGGACTGGAGACTTTTAAGTGGAAAAGTTGTTTTTTGTTTTTGTTTTCGTTTTTTTTTTCCTGAGGACGTTAAAAAGAATGACCAGTTGACCACCCCGCTCATGGATTTTATGTAAACCAAAAAAATTGAAACTTGAATTTATCTTTCTTAGAGTGTTTTGTATATATTGTTACCACCTATATTATCTAAAAACTTCATACAATCTTTTTTTTTTTTTTTGAGACGGAGTTTCGCTCTTGTTACCCAGGCTGGAGTGCAATGGCGTGGTCTCGGTTCACCGCAACCTCCGCCTCCTGGGTTCAAGCAATTCTCCCACCTCAGCCTCCTGAGTAGCTGGGATTACAGGCACGTGCCACCATGCCCAGCTAATTTTTTGTATTTTTAGTAGAGACGGGGTTTCACCATGTTGACCAGGATGGTCTCGATCTCTTGACCTCGTGATCCACCCGCCTAGGCCTCCCAAAGTGCAAAACTTCATACAATCTCGAGTGCACTACTCTGGGATTTGCCCCATTTTGTTTTCCATGTTGTAGTTTTCTTCCAGTTTAATATATATGTATACATATCTATATATAATTTTAATTAGATTAAATTTAAATTATATATCTATAAAATATATAATTTTATTTTTGTAGCACTTAAATGCAGAAAGGTCTTACAAGTCCCAGATTTCTACCTTACATAAGTCTGTTGTAAAAATGGAAGAGGAGCTTCAGAAGGTTCAGTTTGAAAAAGTGTCTGCTCTTGCAGATTTGTCTTCTACTAGGGAACTTTGCATTAAACTTGACTCAAGCAAAGAACTTCTTAATCGACAGCTGGTTGCTAAAGATCAAGAAATAGAAATGGTATGTAATACATTTTTTAAAAATTGCTATTACTGTGAAGTTAGCAAAATTTTGGGAAAATAAATTCTTTTTTATGTAATATTACATCAAGCCATCTCTTTGAACTTAGATTTTGTTTTAGAAGTCTAAGAGATTAGTTTATGACAGCTGTATTCCAAACAACTTAAGACTGTAACAGAAACCCTTCCTTTTAGCATGTAATTTGCATTTACTTTTAGCCAGAAATATCATAAAATACATTGACATAGCAATCAGCAAAGAACCATGAGGTTGAGGTTTATTCAGCTAAACTTTAATTTTAATGATACTCTTTTACACTAAATTTATTTACTAATGGGCCAGATTCTTTTAACTGTAATTCAGTTGATTGCATCTACTTTGTGCCTGACACTGTACTTGCCACTGGGAGTATAATTTTCAAAAGATACAAGTTTCTGTCCTCAGGGATTTCTCATTGACATGCAAATAATTTGTAATGAATGATATGTTAATAAGAGATACTAAAAGCTTTATAGAGGAAATTTCTATTCAGCCCAGGAATATCAGGGAGGAGTACACAAGGAGGTACTGCTGAGCTCTAAGGGAATGAGGCATCCCAATCAGGAAGAACAACATAGGCAAGGGTATGGAAGTATATATAGATTCTTGAGTGAATAACAAGTACTTTGTAATGGCTAGTGTAGCGTGCACGGGAGGAAGTGACTGGAGAGATAGAGCTGGAATCCTAAAGGGGCATGTATAGAAGATGGATAGTCTATTTGAAATAGTGGCAAATTTTGGTCATGTTTAAATTTCTATTATTACCAAACCCTATTGAACCTTTTATTTTATCTATTTGTTTAGAGATGGAGTCTCTTTCTGTCGCCAGGCTGGAGTGCAGTGGCATGATCTCAGCTCACTGCCTCAGTCTCCCAAGTAGCTGGGATTACAGGCTTGCACCACCACGCCTAGCTAATTTTTGTATTTTCAGTAGAGACGGGTTATCACCATGTTGGCCAGGGGTTTGACCATGGTCTCAATCTCCTGACTTTGTTATCCACCCACCTCAGCCTCCCAAAGTGCTGGGATTACAGACATGAGCCACCGTGCCCGGCCAAACCTTCTGTTAGTCTGCAGTTGGATGACGCATCTGAGAATCATGTGTCTAATTTGTTTCTGTCAGAACCACTGTTAATGTTTTAATGAAGTGGTGTGTGCTGGAATTCTCACTCTTCAAATTATTTTTTATTTAAATAAGAACCTTTTAATGATGAAAGTAACCCAAGAATAGGTGGTCTCTATAAAAATTCAAACAATACATCCTGTAAACATTTTTACTGATGTATTTAAATTGGAAGTCTTACATGTTACTCAAACTGACACAATATGAAGTAGAAATATCAGAACATACACCAAAGCTTATTTAAAAATACACTAAGACCAGGTAGGGTATATTCTGGTAATCCTCTTAAAGTTTTGAAATCATTGCCCTTAGTATATAAATCTTGATAATGATTTATATTAATTAAAAAAATTAAAGATGTTTACTCCAAGTTTTGTGGCTTATTTCCTGTTCCCAAAGGGCTTTAAGTTACCCTGACGTTAATATTTTTTTTTTTACTTTGGAATTTGGTTATTTATGTTTGTATCTTTATCTCCTCAAAGCAACAATCTCAGCCATCCTATTTATTTTTGTATTTCTTAAGCTATATTTTGTATATAGGAGGCACTCATAATTTTTTTCTACATTAAACTCTTGATTTTGAGATAATGGTAGATTTGCATGCAATCATAAGAAACAATATAGAGAGATCCTGTGTAACCTTTACCTGGTTTTGCCCAATGGTAATATCTTGCAGAATTATATATGTTGCAAGACTATAATATATTGGATATTTGACATTGATTCAGGAAGATGCAGACCATTTCCATCACAGGAACCATTGTGATGCCCTTTTGTAGCCCTATCTACTTCTCTCCTATTCCCAAACCCTCCATAATCCCCAGCAACCATTAATCTGTTTTCCATTTCTATAATTTTGCCATTTCATGAATATTATATAAATGAAATAATACAATATGTAACCTTTTGGGAATTGACTTTTTCCACTCAGCATAGTTCTCTAAAGATTAATGTAGGTTGTTTAATGTATCAATAGTTCCTTTTTATTACAGAGTAATGTACAGAGTATTACAATAATTCCTTTTTATTACAGAGTAATGTTCATCCTATTGGTGTAACACAGTTGGTTTAACCATTTGCCCACTGAAGAATGTTGGAGTTATTTCCAGTTTTTGGATAGTACAAATAAAGCTATTATAAACATTTGTGTTTAGGTTTTTGTATGAGCATAAGTTTTCATTTCTCTGTAACTGTCCAAGAGCATAATTTTGGGTTCTTATATTAGGTGCATGATTAATATTTTAACCAAGTGCCAGCCTGTCTTCCCAAGTGTCTATACCATTTTGCATTTTCACCAAGTGTATGAATGACCTAGTTTCTCCAGCATTTGTTGTTGCCACTATTTTTTAATTTAGCCATTCTGAAATGTGTATAATACTTTACTGTGGTAGTTTTAATATGTAATTTCCTTAATGACTAATGAACTTGAAATTCTCTTTGTGTGGTTGTCATCTCTGTATCTTCTACAGTGAAACATCTCTTTGTCTTTTGTCCATGTTCTCATTGGATAGATGTTTTTCTTGATGTACAGTATGGAGAGTTCTTTATATATTCTAGATACTAGTTCTTTATCACAGTGGCCCTCAACTTTATTGGCACCAGGGACCAGTTTCATGGAAGACAGTTTTTCTACAGACTGGGTGTGGGGGCAGGCAGGGGATGGTTTTGGGATGATTCAAGAGCATTACATATATTGTGCACTTGATTTCTGTTATTATTACATTATGATATATAGTGAAATCATTATGCAACTCACCATAATGTAAAATTACTGGGAACCCTAAGATTGTTTTCCTGCAACTAGACAGTCCCATCTGCAGGTGTTGGGAAACAGTGACACCCGAAAGCTGTTGCTTATGTCCAGTCTATAATCTTACCTTGGTTGCTGTCACTGAAGAAAACTCTGCTTCACAAAGGTAGGATGCTGGAAATGGAAGCAGCCTTTTCAGTGCTTTTGTGGCAATATCAGGATAGTCAGGCTTGACTTTAATCCAGAACGTCTGGAGATTTGAAGTTATCTCAAATATACTTTTAAAGCTGTCATCATTTGCATCTCAGGCAGTTCATCCTCTTCTAGCATGGACAAAAATCAATTCACCTGACATACTCACAAATGGATTGGGGATCCATTCTTTCCAAGTTTGGGGGTCTTTTGTGATTAGGAAGTAATGCTCAAACTCTTTTGAAAGCTGAGATAGTTGATCATGCACCAGCTGGGAGAAAGAAGGCCCTGGCTCAGCCTCTTTCAAAATCTCTGCTAATGTTTGAAACATGTTAAAAATCCCAGTCACCCCCAAAATTCCAGCTTGGCTTTGTTTTTGTTTTGTTTTCGCTTTGTTGCCCAGGCTGGAGTGCAGTGGCGCGATCTCGGCTCACTGCAACTTCTACCTCCTGAGTTCAAGTGATTCCTCAGCCTCCCGAGTAGCTGAGATTACAGATGCTGCTGCCACACCTGGCTGATTTTTGTATTTTATTTATTTATTTATTTTTATTGCATTTTAGGTTTTGGGGTACATGTGAAGAACATGCAAGATGGTTGCATAGGTATACTCGTGGCAGTGATTTTCTGCCTTCTTCCCCTTCACCTATATTTGGCATTTCTCCCCATGCTATCTCTCCCCAACTCCCCACCCCCTGCTGTCCCTCCCCTATTCCCCCCCAACAGACCCCAGTGTCTAGTGCTCTCCTCCCTGTGTCCATGTGTTCTCAATGTTCATCACCCGCCGATGAGTGAGAATATGCAGTATTTCATTTTCTGTTCTTGTGTCAGTTTGCTGAGAGTGATGTTCTCCAGGTTCATCCCTGTCCCTACAAACGACACGAACTCATCATTTCTGATTGCTGCATAATATTCCATGGTAGATATGTGCCACATTTTCCCTGTCCAGTCTATCATCGATGGGCATTTGGGTTGATTCCAGGTCTTTGCTAGTGTACACAGTGCTACAATGAACATTCCTGTGCATGTGCCCTTATAGTAGAATGATTTATAGTCCTTTGGATATATACCCAGTAATGGGATTGCTGGGTCAAATGGAATTTCTATTTCTAGGTCCTTGAGGAATAACCACACTGTCTTCCACAATGGTTGAACTAATTTACACTCCCCCCAGCAGTGTAAAAGTGTTCCTATTCTCCACATCCTCTTCAGCATCTGTTGTCTCCAGATTTTTTAATGATCGCCATTCTAACTGGCGTCAGATGGTATCTCAATGTAGTTTTGATTTGCATTTCTCTTATGACCAGTGATGATGAGCATTTTTTCATATGATTGTTGGCCTCATGTATGTCTTCTTTTGGAAAGTGTCTGTTCATATCCTTCTCCCACTTTTGAATGGGCTTGTTTGTTTTTTTCTTGTAAATCGGTTTTAGTTCTTTGTAAATTCTGGATATCAGCCCTTTGTCAGATGGGTAAACTGCAAAAATTTTTTCCCATTCTGTTGGTTGCCGATTCACTCTAATGACTGTTTCTTTTGCTGTGCAGAAGCTGTGGAGTTTCATTAGGTCCCATTTGTCTATTTTGGCTTTTGTTGCCAATGCTTTTGGTGTTTTGTTCATGAAGACCTTGCCTACTCCTATGTCCTGAATGGTTTTACCTAGATTTTCGTCTAGGGTTTTTATGCTTATGGTTAGGAAGAATCAATACCGTGAAAATGGCCACACTGCCCAAAGTAATCTATAGATTCAACACTATCCCCATCAAGCTACCAATGACCTTCACAGAACTGGAAAAAACCACCTTAAACTTCATATTGGAACCAAAAGAGAGCCTGCATAGCCAAGAAAATCCTAATCAAAAAGAACAAAGATGGAGGTATCATGCTACCTGACTTCAAAC